CCCCAAAACCCCAAAACCCCAAAACCCCAAAACCCCACAGACTAGATTTAAATTGAAAATATTAGTTAAGATCTTCTCTATTTACCATCTTTACATATGATTTACTTACAACCACCCCAGGATGAGTTCCAAGCTTCTCCTAACTCCCTTTTGATTAGCTACGATGAGTCAATGATAGTGACTCAGGAACAAAAGAAGACTTTTAAGTCATTTGAAGTAGTAGATTTTGAATCTGCTAATGAGGGTCTTTATAAAACCGGTGAGGAAGTGCCCCACTCCAACCAAAACTATATGTTAGGGTTGACTTGAGCGGTCCTCTCCTCGGTTTGTTATGCTAGTAACATTATTTTCGGGAAGATGGCATTAAACAGAACACCTATGCTCACCCCTTATGATATCAACTTTATGAGAGCATGAACATCCCTGTTAGTCAATTCATATCAAGCTAAGAGGAATGGATTTGATCCGAAAGGATGAAAGACGAAGGGTTTCTTATTGTTAATACTATGTAATGTCATGGCTGCACTCAGATCCTACCCTACTGTTTGGTCTTATCAGTACATCTCAGCTAGCAAATGATTACTCATTATCAACACATCACCGATATTAGTAGTAATAGTTGCTGGGATACTGCTAGCTGAAAAGGTAACTTATGTGAATTATCTAATCGGACTCACAGCTGTGTTCGGATGCTACATTTTGACACTCTCAAATTCCGCAGATAGCGTTCCAAACTCAAACCCTGTTTTGGGCTATACATTTGCTCTGATCGCATGTGTAGCAAGGGCCGGAACAAGTTGAACTCAGAGAGTTCTTGCTCATGTTTGGCATTTTATGGCCCTGCCATTTTATTATACCTTCACCTTATTTGGAGTGTCCTTTATCGCATGGATGTTCTTTGAAGGGTTGATAAATGTGGCATCATATGATCTTATAGACACAGTACTCCTCCTTTTGGCCTCATTGGGGACTACTTTTGGGATGATGACTATCAGCATTGGTCTAAAGCATCTTCCAGCATCAACAGCTGCACCGATAACCAACCTTGAAGTGGCCTTTGGATTCGTGGCGGATATTCTCATTTTCCACTATCAGTTCTATATGAGTGATGTAGTGGGAGCCTGAATTATATTTGGATCGCTACTAGTCCATATTGCTTTGCAATGTTATAAAAAATAGCCTCTTCTGCTCGTAAATCATTTCAGTAACTATCTCAACTAGGGGTTTTGGGGTTTTGGGGTTTTGGGGTTTTGGGG